TCTGGGGCTCTGGCCACACCTTTCCCTTGCCTAAGATTCCTTTTGCTTCCTACCTTCCAAATGCTGTATTTCCCCCCAAGAAGACTTGCCAAGACCACTCTAGCCTGCACATCTTCCATTTCAGCTAACCAAAGGCATCCTTGCATTGACTAAACCAAATGGTTTTGCAGAGAAGGCATCTAAAAACTTCTACTGTAGACCATTCAGCTTAATAATTGTTATCATGACATTATTCAATAACAAAATGAGGGAAAGAAGTTCTCTTTAACTCCTTTGCCCTGGAGAATCCAAGCAAGTGGCTTTCCCACTTGCTTTGACCAAACCCTGGTACCTTTCAAAGTGAAAGTTTAATGGAAAGGAAAGAAAATCTAAAAGAAAAACTCCCCAAAAAACTAAACTCAGGTAAAGAATCATGGGATTAAAAATTTTTATTCTTTGTGTATTTGATTTCTGAAACATAGAAATTGATCTCTCACTCCTTAAATCTGCCACTGGGCTAAGAGGATATTGCACAAAATGTGTACTCATTGATTTAACAGAATTAGACTATCCAGGTACTCACTGAAATTTTGATTCCACAACTGCTCAAAGTCTATTCATTAGTTAATGAGTTAACACAACACTTAATCTTCAAATTTTGGAAATGCTGATGGTAGACAGGAACTTCTTTTGGCAAAAGGAAGCATATGGTAGACATTGTTACCCATTATCCAACCATCACCACCTTTCCTTTAAAGTACCCCACTCTTCCTTTAAAGTTGCAGAGTCTCAGATAGTGGGAAGAAAAGAAGTTTTTGCATTTTCAGGTCAAAAGAAAGTATATTTGTACAACCACATAATAGGTATGCAAATGTTTGTTGAAATCTAAATAGAAGACAGAAGTAGTTCTAGTACCTTCACAAAAAGTAAGATAAGTAAACTTTTCCTTAATACATACTTTCAGCAGCATCGACACCTAAAAGTGGTTGACTGTACTACTGTATTAAATTACATTCATTTTGTCAATATGTGTTCCAAATTCTTACTGCTCTTTGTCTCCAAAGGGATCCTACTGAATATTGAGACAGTTCAAGAATACTAGGGAAAAAATTTTGAATAATTGAAGCAAGGGTCATCTAAGGATAATATGTCACATACACAGACACAGTAATATTTTCAACTTAAAAAAAAATCAGTTGTCAAAGTTGCACAGCAAACACTCTCCTAAGCTTAGCCTCTTCAGGCATTTGCTTTATAATCACTTTAAAGAAAAGTCAGTCACAAAATGTCACATTTCGTATGATTCTATTTAGATCAGACATTGCCAGGATCAATGGTGGGGGAAATGTGTATAGGGAGTGACTGCTAATGGGTACAGGGTTTCTTTCTGGAGAGAAGAAA